GGAAGCGTCGGCGGCGCCTGGGTGAGCGGAGGGGCCGTGGGCTGGCGGAGGGGCCGGGGACCCAGGGTTGCGGATTCAGTGTTCTCCTTCTCTGTTTGCTCTCAGAAAAGCTAAAGAACCAGACAGAGGAAGAGCAAGGTGAGCCGCGACGGGCACAGCAGCCGTGCGGGTCGAACAAGGGCCTCCCCTTCCCGGGGCGCGGGGCCGCAGTGTTATAGGTGCTTTGTGCAAGGAAGCCTGTGTTCCGGGTTCTGGTCCCCGACTCATCCCCAGCCTGAAAAATGTTCCTCTTTTCTTTCCAGGAAAGCTGGCCTCGCAGCTCGGTGAGTTCTGGGTGCCTGCCCCGCCTTCCCTGACCCTGCCCATATCGGTGATGGCTACAAACGGGATAGCTGCGCTCAAGCCCAGTGGTTTAGGCTCTTTTCGAAGAAGAGAGAGGGCTGGCACCAACCGAGTTCTAAATTCCTCCTTCTTCATCCTCTTTCTCTACAGGCTGAAGGCCTGTCTGGCTGTGCAGCTGCCCTGGTCTATCAGAGAACTTACTGTGAACAGACTGCCAGCTTCTCCCTGCAGATTACATGATTCACTTAAAATTTTCCCACTACATGATTGCTTTCCCCGGTTAACTTCCTAGGATAAATTCTCTTATCTTTTTAATGCAGACACCACTGGGGAGCATGGCACTTTTAGTTTCTGCCGAAGTGTGAATAATTTATCAAATGCACTTTTGTTCCCAAAGGAGCACATCGAATTAAAGCCGTGGTGGGAGGAGGGCTGTAAAGGGAGGATGGGTGAAACCTGGCAGTGGGGAGGGAAAAGGCCTCTGTGAGTAGAAAGAAGACGTCAAGAACCAAAACTCCAGACCAAACTAAGGTTGGGTACTTGTCTTCCCGTCTACTTAGTTCTATGGGGAGAGAGGCGGGACCAAAGCGAAACAGCTGTAATAAGCCATATCACCATACTCTGAATTGGTGTATAGCGCTGCTTTTCCAAAAAGCATTTGCTTTTTTAAAAATTTAATTTAATTTATTGGTACATTCTAGGTAGACAGTACAGCTACATTCATTACTGGGATCTTGTACCTTTACATGACAGGTCTTGGTTCTCATTTTTCCCCCTTGTCCCCACCCTCCCTTCACCCCCTCCTCCCCTCCCCACCTTCAAACACTTTAATTCCATTTTTACATTTTCTCATAATTTTTTCCTTTTCCCTTATTCCCCCTTCCCTATCCTCACTGTCCCGACACCTTTGGTCCTTTTCTTCCTATTTGCTAATTTAAAGAGGACAAAAAGTGGACAGTCAAAAAAGTGCATTCTACTGGCAAAATGTCAGAGTCCTTGGCAAATAATCGAGTGTGATGTTTTTCCAGCCCTGTAAGTGAGCCTGAGATTCACGCAGGCAGTGCTCAGCATCTGGACTTATTCGGGAGCTCCTCCTCAGGAAAAACTTCAAATTTCAGGATGAAGGAGCAGGAGCCTCTTCAAAGCAAACCTGGGCCCAAATCTGTTTTGTCTTCCCAGTTTGGTGCAGACTTAAAGCAAGTAGTATAAGGCATCAGGGTCCTGCAATGGATCTCCTTTAATAGGACAGTGCGGGGACAAGAATGGGCTTGGGAACAGCAGTGGTTTCAGACAGGAACCTCTCCCAGTGACCTGCTTTGGAAAGATGGTTCCACTCATCTGAGAGTTGATATTTTCTCTGTGTTCTGTTTTTAGAGAAGCTTCAGACAGAGCTGGGTAAGTGACCCCTCTTAGAACTTTTCCTTCTGTTCACCTTTTTGCCCCTAGTTACCCATGTATCTTGTCATCTCCCAAACCAGGTGTGATGCCCAGCCTGGAACCTAACAGCTGCATGGGCGGCAGGAGAAGGGGGGAAAGGGCAGGAATGGTGCAAAATGTGATGTGTGGGCGGAGAAGCTGTGATGTCCTGATGTTCTAGTTCCATTTTCCTTTGTGCTTCAGATTGGAGAAGGACTGAAGGCCAAGCTGGTGAGTAAAGTCGATTTTCCTCTCATTGTTGCTCCTTATGTTCCTGGACTAACCATGGGGTGACGTCCCTGTAAACCCATTATAATTGTAAATGTCTCAAGTCAAACATGCCTCTAACTTAGCATGCACTTAGCTTACCAACACAGCACACTGTAGAACGGTGATGGCAAGCCTTGTAGAGTCCGAGTCCCAAAATTCATCTATCACAAAGTGCCAACACTGCAATTAAACCTGGATACTGAGGTTTTAGTTTAGAAAAACCAACTTATATAACTCACGATGTCATTGCAGAGAGGGCTCTGGTACCCGCCGTGGCCCGTGGGGTTCACCATCCCTGCTGTAGATTATAAGTCATCTACCTTCCTGGACAGGTGCCCAATGGAGCTATGGCTGTAGGTCTGCCCAGCGTCTCGGAAGAGTATTGTACCATATATCAGCACAAAGATCAGAGTTAAACATTGCAAGTATGGTTTCTACTGAATGCACTGACTCTTGCACCAGAATAGAGTAAAACCTCATAAGTTAAACCAACTGGAGTCCGGGACTGAACATCTCAGCATGCCAGTCATTTGGTCTGAGTAATCTACCACACTTCATACTGGTTTCACTCCACAGCCTCTCCGGCTGTCTATTAATTTGGGTCACTTGGTATATTGTCCTGAGGTTTAAACATACTGGAAGTGTGAATAATTTATCCAATTCACTTTTGTTCCCAGAGGAACACATCAACTTGAAGCCGTGGTGGGAGGAGGGCTGTAAGAGGGAGGACCATATATGTATACTTTTTTCTCCATATAACTGGTCCCCCATCCATGGAAGGCAAACTGCAATGTAATTATTTATTTACTTTTGGTACCGGGGAGTGAACTCGGGTCTTTGCGCTTGCAAGACAGGCGGCGGAACCACTGAGCTGATCCCCTGGCCCTATATCTTTATTTTCTATTTATTCTTGTACATGTGAATTTTCCTTTTGTCACACGTGTTTTATGTAAACAATATTCATCATCTCATGCTGTTCCTTGCTCTTTTCATGCATCACTGTCTGAACATCTTTCTCATGTGTACACGTAGTCTGTGTCTCCTTTTCGCTGCCCAGACTGTTTTAGCCCATCACCCTCTTGGAGGAGACATCCTGGCTGCCTTTGCCTCCACAGCATCATAAACAGCAGTGAATGAATAGCTTCAAATGCATGTCTCCCTAAGATACTGTGTGGAGATCTGCCTATGTCCCCAGGATGTGAACTGCTGGGGCATTTAGGGGCTCAAACTCGGTCCTTGTGCTTATGAGGCAAGCGGCGGAACCCCTGAGCCAAATCCCTGGCCCCATGATATATCTTGATAGTTATTTTTTTCTCAGTCCCCTCCCTTTGATCCCTCTCCCCCTTTTATTTATAAAAGCCTTTGTTTCCATTTTTGTTTTTTTTTCTTGTCCCTTCTCCCCCACCCAACCTTCTTTCTCTTGTCATTTGAACATTTTTTTAAGCAAAACATTTCTTGGTACATTTTAGATAAACATAATGATAACATTCATCGTATGTAATTTGTACCTGTAGGTAATATGCCTTTTTTCCCCATTCCCTCCCTCCCTTTGACCCCTCTTTCACCCTTTACTTACCAAAGCTTTGTTTCCATTTTCCCTTCTCTTCTTTTTTCCCCTGGTCCCTACTTTCCTTTCTCCCTCCCCCCCAACCTTGTTCTCCTTCTCATTTGAACATTTTCTTCCCATTTCCCAATATTTATTATACATTTTGATCCTAATTTCCACTTTCAGTTTCTCACACCACAGAAACAGTGTGCTACTTAAACATATGTGTGTGCTTCATCTCTCTTAAGAATTTGGTCTCAAAATGTGTATCCGTTTAGCTAGAAATAGTGGAGTCAAGAAGAACCTGTAGTTTTAGGTTTTTGAGGAACCTTCGCATTGATTTCTACAGTAGATGCACCAGTCTACAATCCCAACAACAGTGGAGAAGGGTTCCATTTTATCTCTCTTTTGCGGGGGTGGAGGTGGAATTGAACTCAGTACTGTTTGCTTGCCAGTCACGTACAGTGCCACAGAGCTACATACCCAACCCAAGAAGGCTTCCTTTTTCCCCACAGCACTGCCAGCATTTGCTATTGTTCTATTTGATGATAACAGCTATTCTTTCTGGAGTAAGATGAATCTCAGTGTTGTTTTAATTTGCATCTCTCAAATAAGCAGTGATGTTGGAACATTTTTTCATGTATTTGCTATCTCTACTTCTTCATCTGAGAAGTGTCTGTTCATTTTGGGTGTCCATTTTTGGATTGCATCTTTAAATTGGGGGGGTCAGATTGTTTTGAGTTCTTTATATATTCTACATTTTAGCCCTTTGTCTGAGGAATAGCTGGCACATTTTTTTCCCACACAGTTGGTTGTCCCTTCACTCTGTTGGTGCTTTCTTTTGCTGTGCAAAAGGTTTTTGTTTTGGATACCGGGGACTGAACTCAGGACCTTGCACTTTTAAGACAGGCGGCAGAACCACTGCGCTAAATCCCCAGCCCTCTAAGGCTTTTTCATAAGATGAGGTCCCAATTGTTGATTCTCTGTGATATTTCCTGTGTGACTGGGATTTTCCTCATACAGTCTTTGCCTATAACAATGTCTTTAAGAGTTCTACCTATTCTATTGTCAAGCAGATTTAGTGTTTCTGTTTTAACATTTAGATCTTTGACCCATTTCAGTTTTAGGTTAGTGCGTGGTGAAAGATATGGGTCTAGTTTTCGTCGTTGTATATGGAAAGCCAGTTTTTCCAGCAACATTTATTAAGGAGGTTATTTTTCTTCTAGTGAAGGTGTTTGGCTCCCACATCAAAGATAAGGTGGCTGAGTATATCTGGAATTGTATCTGCATCTTTTTATCTGTCACATGGGTCTTTGACTTTGCTTTTTGCCAGTACTATGCTATTTTTATCATAGTAGCTTTGTAGTATAATTTCTTGTCTCTTTTGGGGGGGAAGTTGAGACAGGGTCTCACTATGTAGTTGAGACTGCCCTGGAACTCACTATGTAGCCCAGGCCTGTCTTGAACTCACAGCAATCCTCATGTCTCAGCTTCCCAAGTGCTGGAATTAGAGGTGTGCACCACCACGCCTGGCCATAGTATAATTTCAAATTGGGGGTTATGATTTCTTCTGCCTTGACTTTTATTCTAGGTCTCTTCCAGTTCAGTGAATTTTGGGAATGTTTTTTCCTCATTCTCTGAGATATGCTATTGGTATTTTTATTGGGATTGCACTAAGTCTGTATAACAATTTTGGAAGTATGGCCATTTTTACTGTATTGCTTCTTCTTACCCAAGAACAAGGGGTATCTTTCCATTTTCTGATAGCCTTCAGTCTCCTTTTTCAGAGTACTGTAGCTTTCCATGTAAAGTTCTTTTACTTTCATCATTAGATTAATTTATAAGTATTTCTTTTTTTGGATGCTATTGTGAAATGTGTGGTTTCCCTAATTTCTCTCTCAGTGAATTTGTTATTTGTGTATAGGAATCCTATTGATTTTTGCCTGTTGGCTTTTTATCCATCTATGCCACTAAATTTGGTTATTAAATCTACTGGTCTTTTGGTGGAGTTTTGGTATTCTTCTATATACAGTACCATATTAACCACAAATAATGATAATTTAAATGATTCCTATCCTTATTCCTTTTATTTCTTTCTTTCATCTAATTGCTCTGGCTAGTGTCTCCAGAAAACAGAATATTCTTGTCATGTATCTGATTTTACAGTGAAATCTCTCAATTTAGTATGATGTTGGCTGTGGTTTGTCATAGATGGTTTTGTTAGATTGAAATAAGGACCATCTGTTGCAATTTTCTGTAGGGTTTTTATCATGAATAAGTGTTGGACTTTGACAAATGCTTCATCTTTTGAGATGATCATGGTTTTTGTCCTTGGCTGTTAATATGTTACATTTAGTGATTTGCATATGTTGAACCATCCTTGCAACATTAAAATAAATCCTACTTCATCATAGTATATAAACTTTTTGATGACTTGCTGTACTTTTTCCCAGTATCTTATTGAGGATTTTTGCATCTGTGTTCATTATGGAAATTGGCTGGCTTTTCTTTTTGGGGTGGATCCTTCCCTAGTTTTGGTACCAGGATAATATTTCTTCCAGAAGTGAATTTATGAGTATTGCTTCCATTTCAATTTCACTAAAGCATTTGAGAAATAGTAGCATTAGGTCTTCTCTAAATTACTCTTAGAATTCAGCAATGAATCTATCAGGGCTTCTACTCTTTTCTTTGTAGGTTTTTAATGAGATCTTCAATTTAATTGACTGATATCAGTTTATTTAAAATTGTTATATCTTCTTGGTTCAACTTTGGTAATTTATGTGTATATAGGAATCTGTTCATTTCGTCTATGTTTTCCACCTTGTTAGAATAGAGTTTCTTGCACTAGGCATTGATGATCTTCTGGATTTCTGTAGGCTCGGTTATGATTTCACCCTTTTCATTCCTAATTGTATGGATTTAAGTGTTTTCTTTCCTTTTTTAGATAAAGTTGGCTGAGGGTTTGTCAATTTTGTTTACTCTTTCAAAGAACCAACTCTTCAATTCATTTATTATTTGTATTGTTTTCTTAGTCTCCACTGCATTAATATCTCTTCTGATCTTTATAAGTTGCTCTCTCATAAGAGCTTTGGGCTTGCCTTGATCTTTTCTAGAAGCTTGAAATTCAACATTAGTTTGTTTATTTGACCTTACTCTGTGTTTCTTCTTTTATATCTTACTGAGTTTATTGGTACTTTTTAAGTGTGCAGTATAGTTACATGCATCATTGGGATCTTGTACCTTTACATGACAGGTCTTGGTTCCCATTTTTCTCCATACCCCTGTCCTTCCTTCACCTGCTCCACCCTACCCAATTTACAAAGACTTTGTTTCCATTTTTTTCCTTTTCTCTCTTTTTTCCTTTCACCTACCCTTCTCACTTCTCTTACATCTTTAGCCCTTTTCTTCCTATTTC